ACCAATAATTTTGACATTCTCATATTATAAAATTGTCATTTTGCTTAATAAATAAAATTCAAATACAAAAATCCAAATTAATAAATAAAATTCAGGATTAACAAAAATTTGGAAATCCAAAAGAAGAAGAAAATAGAAAAGTTATAGAAGAAGAAAACATGAGAGCTTGAGAAGAAGTTAAGGGAGGAGCAAAAGAAAAAGATGAAGACTCTTACCTGGGCAGAGACATCCGTCCATCGCAAGTGAGATTGATCGCACCCAGCGAATCAATGCAGCAGGAATTAAGAAGGTTGTTTTGGTCCAAATACAAATAATTAGTCCTATTAAGGAAACATAAAACATTATGTCCTATTTTTGCAATTCTACATACTCTTAGTCTTATTTAGGTAATTCTCTCATAAATAAAAAATAATTTAAAAATGAGCTGTTATAATCGATGCAGAAGATCGAACCAGTAGATAGCCATATCTACGGTGGAGGTGAAGGTCGAGGAAGAACATGACGGGAAACACGAAAGAAGATGGAGGTGTGGCCCAAGAAAAATGAACCAAGGCCTAATGGGGAAGGTGGGCCCGAAGAGGGAAAAAGGGAAAAGAAGGGAAATAAAAGACAGAAAAAAGTAAAAAATCACACCTAGACTAACAGATCAACAAAGCGACTTGTTAACCGGGAATCAACGGTGTAAATTACCAATTTGACTCTTTTTATATAGTTCATGGACTCAATTGAATGTTTTTATAGTTCAAGGGCGTAATTGACTTTTCAAATATGTTTAAATTAAATGCATCGAATAATGGATTTACACAATATATAAACAAGAAAAAATTACACTAATTATGTTATTCCTCAAAAGGTGATGGATACAAATATGACTTAGTAACTATTAGTGACTATAATTGTTTTCAAGTTTTATCGTAGTGTCTTCATATAATCACTACGATGTAAAGTGTGAACACAATTATAAACACTAATAGTTATTAAATCACATTCTTGTCTATGAGTTTTTTATTAATAATATTTTGGGGAAAAATTCTATCAAAATGCAAAACATTCGATAAAAGCGGCATTTTCAAAACTTAATATTATTGCGAAAGTTGCACTGCAATGCACACATAGTTCATATATATATATTGGCTGGTGACCAAAAGCGCAAGTGTATAGTTTAAGGAGTGAATTTAGAGCCCATTTGATAACATTGAAAGTTATGAAGTTGGGGCTGATGAAGTGTCTGTATTGGTAGATTCTTCTGATTTATGAAAAAAAATTAAAATATATTTTATTAATAAAATAAAGAAACATTTATACGAAAAATATAATAGCTAAAATGGTCATCTAAAGTAACTCCAGTCAATACAACTAGAAATTAAAACTAACTCCAATCTTACCTTTTCTTAGAGCATCCACATTCATGCTTCTAACAAAATCTGATTTTTTGTGATTCTTACCTTTTTAATATTTGCCACATAAATGTTTTACAATAATCACATCCCCTCTGAATTACCTTCAACCATTATCCCGAAATAATCCGGTCCTTTGTGGTCCTATATTAACTAAATAACTATAACTTCATAAATAATCTCAAAATAATCCGTTTTCATATTTTTATCTCAGACTATTCTATAAATTAATTTCGCCCAATAATATCTCTCACTCAACATGCTCCCCGAAATAATTTACCATGTCACTAGAATAATCACCTAATAACCTCATAGATGGTGATGCCCTTATTATTACAAAATGTTGGTTAAAATGTTGCTTGATAAGCCTACCGAAAAATAGAGTAGTTCAATTCGAGATCACAAACTTGAATAAATTCGAATATAATGAACTGGATGAGATCAGAGCCGACTCAATCTCGCTTTGGTTGTAAGCTTTCATTGTTGTAAGATACCCATACATTAATTAGTTAGTTAACAAGGACAACTCTTTAATCAGTTTATTTTGGTGGTATTGGCAATTTGGCAGGAGGCTTTACAACAATAGAATGGCCGGAATTGTTCCTAGGTCTTTATTCGTACTATCCATGTTCAAAGTCTTGTAAGTGATATCATGAATTGTTATTGTTAGTACGCAGTCATTTCGACGTTTCCATTACTCCAATTCATAAAAAACATGCATTAATTTTTGCGGTTGAATTGGTTGTCACAATTAAATCGAGTCATCCGATACTACTTCGTAATTTTTATGTAACAAGTATGTGTACCCGTGCACTGCACGGGAAAATATGTGTGTAAAGTTTTTATTAAAATTGTCGGGAAAATGAATTACATGAATTCATCAATTAGTGTTTAAAAGAAAATTCAACCGACTATGGACAGAGCTGTCAAAATAGTCGAAGTCCATAGGGCTAGCTTATTTCATCTCATTTCACAGTGGGTTAGAGTTGTCATTCTTCAATCCTGTAAACTCACCGATTTCGTGGTGCAACTTGCACGGATAGCAGGTTAAGTGAGTTGACCCATGTATGTTGCGAGTCAATCAAAATGTACCCGTGCGCCGCACGGTAAGAGCACGTCATGGTTAAATTTTTTGAAAAATGAGAAGTACTATCGTATATTTTAAAGAGAAAGAAAAGGAAAATACACAAAATGGGTAAACAACTGTAAATTTATAGAATTGAAAATACAAATATGAATATAATCAAAGTTTTTCTACTTACAATAGTTGTTTAAAAAGTGCTAGTTGACTGTTGTAGGGTAAGTAATACATAGTAATCATAAATTGAAACGGAACATAAATAACATACTCCCTCCGTCCTTTATAACTTTGCCAATTTTCCCTTTTTGGATGTCTCATTAACTTTGTCACTTTCCTTTTTAAGTAAAAAATTTGTGGTTCCGGTTAATTTTCTCTCCGTTGCACAAACTTCAACCACACAGTTTTTACTTTTTAATCCCCGTGCCAGTCAAACTTGGCAAAGTTATTAGGGACGGGGGAAGTATAAAAGAGTGAGGAAGAAACAGCCGAATGTTGTAAAGTTTTATTCCTAAAGGCTATATGTGTTTATCATTACATATCAAGAAATATTTGGATAAAGTTCAAAATGTTTCTTTTATTACTTCTGATTCATCATTTACATTTATATACTAAAAAAGTACTTGTATATCATAAGTATGTTTACTTTAAAAATATATTTTAACCATTTTTTGACTGTTATGTAGGGGTTATTCTTTTGAAAACTGAGAATTTTGTTACAATTCCAACAAAATAGCTAGAATAGAATGTAAAAGATTGTAAGGATGTCACAATTTTTTTTAAATGGCAATAACATTAAATTTATGATTTTTTTGTAAACTACTCCGAATGACTGCCATTCAATAAATAGATAGAATCATGGATCTAAAAATCGGGCTCACAGTCTTAGACATAATTTTTCTTAAATGATAAAAGTTTGATTGTTTTCATCGCATATTGGAGGCTCACAGCCCCTCGAGTGCCAAGAAAAAAATTGGACAATTATAATCGCAACAACTTTAATTATCATATGCAATAAGACATTATATTAATGATAGAAATATAGAATCATATACTCCGTATTTATGAAATGGAAAAAACCTCTATAACCCTTCACCTTTTGCAAACTGAACGATAACCATTGAGATATTCTAAAAATTGTTTTCACGCCATACCCTAGCAAACTTAATGCAAATAATATAGTTATAATGATCGAAAGTAGTAATGGAAATTAGCAAGCCTAGCAAAATGAAATACGTAGTAGATACTATCACTAGTGAAAATAAATATAATGGAACCTTTGAGACATTTTAAATTGGAAACTTCCACAGTCATATGATATGTAGTATAATTTAAGATCAGCATGTGTGCACAAAAGTCACTGCTAGTTGTGCTTTATGTTTATAGATAAACGGATATTAACACAAAGGCAACTGCTAGTCTAATGTAATTTGAATAGACATTTTATATTTTAATGAAACTGAATGTAAATGCATGTGTGAGTTTAGAAGTTTTGGAAGGTCAGTAGATTTTCACTTATGTATGTGAGTTCCTATAAATGTTGCGTGCATGCATAATGCATTTGAGATTAAAGTTGAAAATTACATTTATATGATGCCACATGTCAATTTTTACTCTAGAGTGTGTTGCCACATGTCACAATTCCTTCATATAGGCTTCCTTGTTGAGATTGCTTTATTATATTATATAGATTATGTGGAATGATAGGTCTGTGTGCATACAAATTACAAATATATGTATGTGTGCAAATTACAGACAATATTAGCACACGGATCTATGTGTGTGCGCGCATAAAAGAAATCAATATCTATGCAGTTTACTCACAAGAATTATTATCTAACAATGATTTTACATGTTTTCATATTGGTATTTTTCACACAGACTTATATTTGTTGAGCTAATTGACATGCATGTGGATTTATCCATGTGAAAGTGGGTAATACTATGTTGGTGCAACATCATTTTTCGATTAATTAATCTTCCTCTTCATTAGTTTTGCAAATGAATGTTTATATTTTTGTTTTTCACTAATTGCAATGATTCAATAAAAATTTACTTCAATTTCTAATTACACACACACATATACTTCTAATCTCTCAAAAGAAAAATATATACTTCGTAGACTTCTAATTGGCTAGTACACACACAATGCTTTTGACAACAGTCCAAAAACTTCTCTGCTAATAAAATTCTCGGGTATTATTGTATTCTTTAATCAAATGTCAATAATTAAATATAATCACAGATAGCTAGATAGGCAAAAAAACAGTTTCCGATGATGAAATATCTTTAATTGTAAGATCTTTACAAATTTTGAAATGAGTCTCTACATTTCGAAACGATGATGAAATGAATTTTTATTCCATCAAATAAATAGAAACGATGAAACTAATATCCCATACTAATGGTAAATAAATATGTTCTCCATCAAGCAAAAATGTTCCTATTCCGACTTGCACAAATATGTTCTCCATCAAATGTTCCTTATTTTGCGTCGAATTAAGAAAAAGATAAGCAAAAAGTTAGGGTTATTGTGATATTCCAATAATATATTTCTGTTTATATAAATAAAAAAAATAAATTGATATTTCGAGACACTTGGAAAAGGAAATGCGAAAAACTTCTTATCGTATCTAGTATACTAGTTTTCAAGTTAATAGAATGGCTCGATTGAAGCTGGCTTGAATTGACCACATTGGAATTCAGCGCAACTTGTATCTATCTCATATACTCCATATAGCTTGCTGAGGACTATTTTTAGTGGCTGATTTTCTTTTCTTCCATGTTTCAGTTTTGCAAATAATCCAAAACCAGGATGTTAGCTTCATAAGTTAGTGGATGGAGGTATGTCTCTTCCGGGCTCAGTCTCGATCAAGGCTCGCTAGATGGGTTTTTCACCGTGTTCAAGAAATATCAATAAAGTTTCCTCTGGTAAGAAACTTACCAGAGGAAATTACCAAAATGCGGGACTTTGGAGTTTGACATGCCAAAATACGGGAATTGGAATTAGGTTACCAAAATGCGGGAGTCGGATTTCTGTGTTCCGACCAGGGGTTAGGGCATTGTTTAGGGGTTAGGGCTTCCTGTCGGAATTGGAAAATCCGATCGGAGATTATGCACACTCTACGATCACTTCCAACCACATCAGACATAACTCTTTCAAAGAACCACGACCAACTTTCAGCATTTTCACTCGCAACAACAGCATATACAAGAGGAAATATCTCACGGTTAGCGTTCATGGCTACTACAACTAGAAGAACCCCCTGGTATTTTCCGTATAAGTGAGTGCCATCAACCGAGACTACAGGTAGACAATATTTGAAACTGTCAATAGAAGCTTTGAATGACCAGAACACTCGGAAGAATTGTAACGTATCGGGAATGCCGATTTGTAGTGATTGGAGATGAACAACACTCCCTGGATTTGAATATCGTATTGCTTCCAACAACTTAGGTAGTTCATTATATGACGCCTCCCAATTGCCGAATTTACATTCCAGAGCAATCAACCGTCCACACCAAGCTTTTTTATATCCAACACGGATTTTAAATTTTTCATAGATGTCTGACATTATCAGTTTAATGTTGTAGTCCGGGCCGATCTCGGAGCGATCTCGGCTGCTATGATCCTGGCCGTTAGGATCCTATCATACGGAGCCATGGTAGGATCCTCCCTACAGCTGGGGTGGGGTTAATATTTTTTAACCTTCCACTTTTTGGAATTCAGAAGTTCCCCAGCTTGGATATGCCAAGTGCAAATGTTAGGGTTGATGCAGACCACCTTCCAAGACCGCGGTCATTTGTCTACCGATTGGAAAACTTGAAATTGGCGAATATTTTCTCTCGCCACCATCCCTTTGAGTGCATGATATGAACTATAAATCGCGCCGATTTCGATCCTTTCTGGCTCAGAATCTACTAGTTCATAGTATGGTTCTTCTATCCTCTTCATTATCATCGCTCGTGGACGATTCAGTTTCACTACTATAAACCAGTTCATAATCTGGGTCGTCCGACTCTTCATCCAAGTTTGTGACTGTACAAAGTAGATGTATGTAACATTCAAAAATTTCATAAATGACACAAAAAGAGTAAAGGGGTGGGGAGTTGGGGTGGTGGAGTGGTCCCATAAAGTAAAAGATGACATTTGACTTAATGGGTCAATTTTTATGTTTCTTCTAATTTCTACGGTTAAATATATCTAATTAAATTTTATGTGATTATATTATCTAATTAAATTTTATGTGAAATCTGATTAAATTTTATCTGATAAAGTTATCCTAAAATATACCTAAAATTTTATCTTATTATATTTACGTGATTGTATTTATCTCTTAAAAATCTTAACACATAAAATTGCATCTGATTAAAATTTAGGTAAATAAATTTTATTTGATTAAAATTTATTTGCAAAAAGAAACGTCCTAGGGGATTCGAACGCGGGTCTATCACCAGAAATGCCAGCACACATACCAGCAAACTACACTACAATCTTTTTGAGTGTAGATTTTTAACCATACTCCATATATTACTCTGTAAAAAAGGTCCACTCAGTACTTTTGTTTGGAAGAAAGCTAACCACTAGTCTACTACGGAGTATTTTAGTTGTTTGTGTTTCTTCTGGTGGGTATAAATTAGGGTTATGTCTAAAATAATACTAAAAAAAGAGCTATGAACAAAAAAGAGACCTTTATTTCAATTTTCCAAAAATGAGACTAACAATGGGTTAAGAGACTATTATACCCTTATTTTAATAGAATCTCACCCATTAGTCTACAATAACGCCACAGTGACCAAAACCATTATCGTGACCAAAATTCGTCACTGACCAAAAATCATTTGTGACCAAAAATCCAAAAATCCGTCAGTGACCAAAATCATTAGTGACAAAAAATTCTACCTAGTTACCAACGTCAACCCGTCCAGTGACCAATCCGACTAGTGACCATGACCAATCCACCCAGTGACCAAAAATCATTTGTGACCAAAATTCCAAAAATCCGTCAGTGACCAAAATCATTAGTGACCAAAAATTTTACCTAGTTACCAACGTCAACCCGTCCAGTGACCAATCTGATTAGTGACCATGACCAATCCATCTAGTGACCAAAAATCATTTGTGACCAAAAATCCAAAAATCCGTCAGTGACCAAAATCATTGGTGACCAAAAATTCTACCTAGTTACCAACGTCAACCCGTCCAGTGACCAATCTGACTAGTGACCATGACCAATCCACCCAGTGACCAAAAATCATTTGTGACAAAAAATCCAAAAATCCGTCAGTGACCAAAATCCTCCAGTGACAAAAAATTATTAGTGACCAAAAATTCAAAATCTGTCAGTGACCAAAATTAATAGTGACCAAAAATGTCGTCAAGTAATCAACCTCGACCAGTGACCAACGTTCGTCCGTCCAGTTACCAACGTCCAGTGACCAAAAATCATTAGTGACCAAAAATCCAAAATTCACCAGTGACCAAAATTCGTCAGTGACCAGTTACAGTTACCAAACTCATCATTTACAGTTATCTGATCCGTTCAGTTACAGTTACCCAACCCGATTAGTTACAGTTACCCGTCGCCAGTTACAATTATCCGACCAGTTACAGTTACCTGACTCATCAGTTACCCGACCTTTTCAGTTATAGTTACCCGACTTCTCAGTTACAGTTACTCGACTCATCATTTACAGTTACCTGATTCTTCCAGTTACAGTTACCTGACTTGTCAGTTACAGTTATCTGGTCCGGTCAATTACAATTTTCCGAACCGCCAGTTACAGTTACGCGACTGGCCAATCTGATCGTCAGTTACACTTACACGATCTGATCAATTACGTTACCCATCCAACATTTTTGTTAACCAGTACACTCAGTTACGATTACCCGGTCCGATTTTTACAGATGCTACCCACCACCGCCATGTAGCACCGCCTACCGCCGCCACACGCCCTCCGGCAGGGCCGCCACCGCGACAGCCCCCTTCCAAGCCCCATTCCCCTGCACAAAAACTGCCACAAACCCGCCCCAGCCCCACAACCACCTCATCCCATCACCATATTTAGCCCCCAACCACTGCAAACCATCGTCCCTCCCCGGCGATGAGCGCCACCGCCCCGGCAGCCCCATTCCCAACCCCAGGTCTTGAAGAACAATGGCTCCCTACATTGGCACCTAGTCCCAGCAATCGCCACCGCTACATCCTTCCCCCTAGCCCCAGCAGACCACCGCCCTCTCCAAAAAACCAAGCCGAGTGCCGATTTGAAGTCGTAGACTTCTTTTAGCCAATGACTCTTCGGCTCCATCACAATATGCAAGACAGAAATCGAGAAGAAGAAGATGAGCAGCCGACGACGACCTGGAGGTGGAGGCGGCAACTCAGAGGCGCTGACCGGAAGACGGAGGAGATGCGGCGACTTGGCTTCGGAGGTGGAGGCGGTACCTCAGTGGCGCTGACCGGAAGCCGGAGGAGATGCGGCGACTTGGCTTCAGAGGTGGAGACCTGAAGATGGAGCTGAGCGGATCTGGATTTGCCAAGGAAAAAGGGGAGAGTCGGGAGACGACGGGCTTGGTTAGTTTAGAGGGTATTTGAGTCCATTCAGTTTTATTTAATCTCTTTTCTGTCCAAATTAAATTGAATCCTAGTTTTGTCCAGAGGAGAGTTAGGAGTCTTCCGTCATTGTTTCTATAAATTACTACGTAAGTTGTTTGTGTTTCTTCTAGTTGGTTGCAATCCTCTAATATCTCTTAATTTCGGTAGGTAGGCTTTATCTATCTTAAATATCTCTAATTAATTTTTATGTGATAACATTTATCTAATTAAATTTTATCTGATTATATTTATTTTATTAAATATTATCTCATCAAATGTATCCGATTAAATATATCTAATTAAATTTTATATGATTATATCTGATAAAAGTTTATCTGATTATATTTATCTGATAAAAGTTTATCTAATTAAATTTTATATGATTATATCTGATAAAAGTTTATCTGATTATATTTATCCTAGCTGTTTAAAATAGAAGTAACTCCTAAGTTTTGGTAGCGTTTTACCTTTGTCCTTTTAATTTCTAATTTTAAAAGTCTAATTTAACCCTATAATAAATGCTTTAGAGTACCCCCATATTCTTCCTTGTTCACGTAAACCGTCTCCTTAGACCCTGTACTCTAGTTTGATGCTTTATACTACATTTCTTTATTTATTTGGGAGTACAGTTGGATGTGTACCGTTTTTTATGTTTTTTTTATTTAAAAATTTATTTATAGTGAATCTTTACTAATTCAAAACATTATTATATCATTAGTTACAAATTTGAAAAACCTAGTCTTTCCTTTAAATTATTTTACTTCTCTATATCAATAAAATAAGCAATATTCCGTACACAAAATACTTTAAAATTGCACTCCCTCCGACTCTTATTCATCTTTACACTTATTTACCTTACAAATCTATATCAAACAGTGTCAAACAGTGTAAAATAAGAGGGCAAAACACCCACTAGTCACCATAAACAAAAAACGAAAAGCAATGTCATTAGTTTACTAAAAAAGTCATTATTACATTCTGTCAAATAGGTCCTCGAACTTTCATAAAAAAGTCAATTAAGTCCTTCTATAGGAGACTTTGTCCGGTCGTCGCGATTTGGGGCGGTTCCCAGTGGAATTTTTTGATCGGGAGTGCAATCAAATTTCAGCTAAAAATTCGATTGCACTCAAGTAACTCTAGTTTACTCATACCAAATTTCAGCTAAAAATTTAATCGGGAGTGCAATCAAATTAATTCGAGAACGCAAAAATGCGCAATTATCTTCAAGAATTAATTTGAATGTGTTCCCGATTGAATGTTTAGCTGAAATTTGGTATGAGTAAACTAGACTTGGTGAATAAGATGCTAAAAAAAATTCATCAAAAAATTCTACCGGGAACTGCCCCAAATCGCGACGGCCGGACAGAACCTCCTATAGAAGGACTTAATTGACCTTTTTATGAAAGTTCGAGGACCTATTTGACAGTTTTCCCTTATTTAATTGAATGGATCCTTGTTTCATTGAATGTGCCCGCATTTTTTTTAAACGTGTAACGTACTACGAAGTATTATTTAAACTAATGTAATATACTATTCTTTAAACTAGTGTAATGTACTATTATCAAAATACATAAAAATAAATTACATGTTTAATACATGAACTAGTCTTATGTGATGAATTTTTATCTGTTTAATTTTTATTATAAATGGGTCAGATCCGCACTTAATTATTAGAAATTTTATGCAATTCATAAGATTTTTATGAATAGTCTTATTTGTCTGATTTTATCTAATTATAAATTTATAATCAAAATAGTACGGAGTATATAATGACATAATTTCTATATACTACTCCCTCCGTCCCTTAAAACTATGTCAAATTTGACCAATATGAGGATTACCAAAAAGAGAAGTTATTGGATCAGTATATATATAACATTTGACTATTTATTAAACTATTAACAATAAATGTCAACACATAAAACCAATTCATTTTAAATTCTATTTAACATGATCGATACATACCGGGAGATTCGGAATTCTCAAACGTTTGGGGGTTGTTTCTCCGGCCATATACTGATGATGGTCCCGCTCCGCTATTTTGAAGCATAGCCGTATTATTTGTTGGAGCTTCGTGGAACGTCAAGTTTTGTGGCTGAGTCGCTATAGCTTCCACGTAAATGTGCAACTCATCGTACTCATTTCTAGCGATTCGGAAAAAATGAGTCCATGTCTTCTCATCATGAATGGGCCATAGTCTAGACGCAACATATACCGAGTTCTTATATTTTGGCAATTTTCCATAAATTAATCTAATTTTGGAAAATCCCTCACCTGTAACACGGTTTAGAACAGTCTCGTGTATACTGGTAAAATCATCTTCTTCACTAATGAATAGTACCGCCCTAGGAGGTATGGAGTACTCTATTTCATTATCTTTTTGAAATGTAGAGCCATTCCAATGAACCATAACAACAATCTCACTAGACATTTGTATATAATATATACGGAGTATTAAGAGAGCAAAGAAGTTTTTTATTGTATTAAAAATTTGAGGATGGGGAATGGGTTTTATAGCATAAATCAACACCAATGTTAGGTAAAAGTTTTGGTTTAAGATGGAACACGTATATAAATATTATAGGTGGGACCAAATTTTTGGCTTTTCCTCTAGTTCGAAGTGCCAATTACGAATGGAGATAAAATGGAATCTAATGACTTTTTTTTAGATTTTAATTGATTCAAGTTGGCCGGATGTATAATTTCAAAAAAAAAAAATCTATACCTTGTCGGATTTCCCAATTCCGACAGGAAGCCCTAACCCCTAAACAATGCCCTAACCCCTGAGCGGAACACGGAAATTTGACTCCGGCATTTTGGTAACCTAATTCCAATTCCCGTAGTTAGTTTGATTAACTAACTACGCAGCGTCTTTTGCTGCATAAACACCGTTAGTTTGATTAACTATTAACAAAGAATCGCATTTTACCTGGAGCATCTTGACGCCTAAATCCTTTGCCAATGTTAAGCCTACGATCTATGCTTTGTATTCCGCCTCATTGTTTGTGGCGTTGAAATCGCAATGTACCGCTTGGAGCACATGCAGTGTCCCCATGTGGCGACTTTAGTACTACGCCCAAGCCTGCCCCATTTAGATTTGATGCCCCATCAGTATGCAATATCCACTTCTGTTGAGGCAAACCGTCCATGATGAGACATGTCTCCCTTTCTGCTTCAGTTTGGAGCTTTGGACTAAAGTCCGCCACAAAATCAGCAAGCGCCTGAGATTTCAAGGCAGTCCTTGGCTCATATCTGACGTCGTAAGCTCCCAGTTGAATTGACCACTTGGCCATGCGACCTAACAACTCGGGTTTCCTCATGATTGACTTCATGGGATAATTAGTTCGAACACAAATGGTATGCGATTCAAAGTAAGGACGTAACTTAATTGATGCAAAAATTAAGGCTAAAACCAATTTTTCAAGCAAAGCGAACTTGGTTTCAGGGCCATTTAGCGACTTACTTATATAGTATACCGGCGTTTGCAATCCGTCGTCCTCTTTGGTTAACACAACACTAACAGCATGTTCTGAAACGACGAGGTAAAGCTGGAGCTCGTCGCCTTCTTTTGGTTTCGTCAGCAGTGGTGGAGTAGTCATATATTCCTTTAATTGCTTAAGTGCCTGTTCATGTTGATCCGTCCATTCAAACTTTTTGTTCTTGCGAAGTATGTCATAAAAGAGGCGACACCTGTCGGATGACTTGGAAATGAAGCGAGTCAGTGCTGTTACTCGTCCCGTTAGCCTTTGGACGTCTTTGACTGACTTTGGTGATTCTATGTCCAGAATGGCTCGGACTACTTCCGGACTCGCTTCTATTCCACGCTCACTGACGATATAGCCCAAAAATTCCCCAGATGACACTCCGAAGGCGCATTTTGACGGATTGAGCTTTAGATTGTACTCTCTCAATTTCTTGAATGATTCCGTCAAGTTGTCAATATGGTCCTCATTTTTCTGTGTCTTGACGAGCATATCATCTATGTACACTTCCATGGTCTTTCCTATCTGATCTTTAAACATCATAGTGACGAGTCTCTTGAACGTCGCACCTGCATTTTTAAGACCAAAAGGCATAACGACATAACAATATGTACCTGTTTCAGTAATGAAGGCCGTCTTCTCCTGATCGTCGGGATGTAGCTGAATTTGGTGGTATCCGCTGAAAGCGTCCATAAACGAGAGCATCTCATGTCGAGCAGTTGCTTCAGCCAATACGTCTATGTGTGGCATCGGGAATGAATCCTTCGGGCATGCTTTGTTCAAATCAGTAAAGTCTACGAACACTCGCCACTTTGCCTTTTTGCCTTTTGCCGCTTTCTTCCTAACGACAACAACATTTGCTAGCCAATCCGAATACCTGACCTCCCTAGCTTTCCCGGTTTGGAAAAGCGTTTCGACTTCCTGATTTATGATGTCATTTCGTTCCCTAGCGAAACGTCTCCTTCGTTGCCTGACGGGTTTATATGACGGATTGACATTAAGTCTGTGTGTGATGACTTTCGGGTCAATACCTGTCATGTCCCGATGGCTCCAAGCGAATACGTCCGTATATTCCTTAAGAAATTGAATAAGTTTGCTTTTGAGGCATTCTGGTACGTTTTTTCCGATGCGGATGACCCGTTCTGGATGCTCATCATCGATGATGACTTCTTCTATTTTCTTGTCATCTTCTTCCAAAGCTGGGTCACCCTTTAGTTGCTATGCTGAAGCTGGTGGATTTGTTGTAGGCTTCATGGCAGTCTGATAGCAGGACTTGGCTACTGTTTGGTCTCCTTGAATAGATTCTACACCCCAAGGCGTCAGAAATTTGACTACTTGGTGATAGGTTGACGGAATAGCTCCCATTTGATGCAGCCACGGGGTCCCCAGAATCATGTTATATGCCGGGAGGTCTTGAATCACATCAAACTTGACCTGCACATAAAGACCATTAGCATAAACAGGGAGAGAGATGTTACCTATGGTCCGGCTTGGTTCTCCATTGAAACCGACTAGGGTGGATCCCGATTTTGCTATGTCATCTTCCTTGACTCCCATGTGCTCCAGCGTCCGCATGGTAATTATGTTCGCCGTACTCCCGTTGTCAACAAGGACCCGTTTCACTTCGAAGTTGGCAACTCTCAAGGATATGACCAAAGTGTCATGATGGGCTTGCATAGGATCAGGCATGTCCGACTCGTCGAATGTAATGGCAGTGTTCTTCCAGTTGTCCTGTCGCTTCTCTACCCGGTATACCTGTATCGACTTGTCTCGAGAATAATCCCGAGCGTGTCGCTTGGCTGCGGAATATGTTAGTCCACATAAATCTGATCCACCGCTAATGAAATTAATTACCTGGCATGGAGCTGAAGGTGATGGGGGGCGGGCTGCTTTTGATGACGACTTGTCAATCCTTCCTAAAAGAGCTTTACTCCGTTCTGACATGATCTCTGCCAAATACCCATTTTTCAGAAGATACGCGACTTCCTTCCGCAATGCGACGCAATCTTCGGTATTGTGTCCGATGTCATCATGGAAATCACAATGCTTACTCGGGTCTCACTTTCCAGCTGGTTTGTCGGTTTTCCTTGGCCATCGGACTTTTTCTCCAAGCCTTTCTAGTGAGTTGATGAGCCCTGCCATACTGACATTAAAGCAATAATCTGGGATAACTGGTGGTAGATCAGGTTCGTCAAACCAATGTGTCGTTGCCGCAACAGGTCGTTCTTCAGATTTGGCGTAAGGTTTGCCGGTTCGGTAATCATGCCGTCTGGACGTACTGGACTTGCGGTGCCCCCCTTCGTAACCGTCAAAGTGTGGTTGTGCCCGCAAATCTTCTTCCAACCTGATAAAGGCTAAGGTTATAGCCTGGACATCTTCAAATTTCCGACAAGGAAACTTTGTTAACTCCCAGTACAACTCGGAATCGTTCTTCAATCCCCTTCGGAATGCTTCGATTGTCGTAGGCATGTCGCACCTTGAGATTGATACCTTCTCCCTGTTGAAACGATGAAGGTAGTCTCTCAAAGATTCATCTCTCTGTTGGGCAATCCTATACAGGTCGCTTGTTTGTTTCTCCAGGGTGCGGCTGCTTACAAATTGTTGAGTGAATGAGTCGACCAACTCTGCGAACGAATCGATCCCTTCATTTGGAAAGTTGACGAACCATGTCAAGGCTGGTCCTGAGAGCGTCGTTCTGAACCTTCTGCACATGCACGCTTCTCTTTGGTCCGGATTGAGTGCTACGGCTAACATACGTTGCTTGAACTGAGCCACGTGTTCCACTGGGTCGGACGTTCCGTCAAACATCTTCATGGAAGGGGCGACGAACTTCCTGGGTATCTCGACATTGGTGATTTGTCTGCTGAATGGGGACTCTGCATCACATGTCCTTGACGCTCTGTCCAACGGTGGGGGTACTCCTGGTAGCCCGTTGATTTTGTCCTGCATTTGAGGCATTTGCTCCATCAACATAGACATCTGATCTGCCACAGCCGAATGATTTGGAACTGGAAATGAAGACGTCGGTCCTACCATCTGGGTGACTTAAGGACGGGTTGGAGATGGGACAAAGATCACCTCGGGACGTCGTTCAAGAAGCGTCGACGTTGCGGACCCGTCGGGTCTGTCAGAGCGCCGCGGTCGGGGCTCTAAGAATGATACACTAAGCCCACTTCGCTTAGCGTCCTGCATGAAACTTGACGGACCCGCTTCTCCATAAATTCTGCTACTGTAGTGAGGAGTAAACGGTTTCGTTGGGGTAAAAGTCATACCAGTTGACGGATTGGAATGGGATGGACCGGGGTCCCCACTGGTTCTGCTCCTGTAATGGGGAATCAACGGCTCTGTCGGGGCGGAGGACAGAGTCGTCATAGGCATGCTTTGGGTTGCTGAATGTAGGCCCGATCCGTTCGGTCTGACTCGAATAGATTCCGGAAAATAACAAGCCGGAATGCTGGCTGGTGGTGTAGTTGCTGGTATAAGAGGCGTGTAAGGAATAACCTGCGAGATGACCGTTGAGTATGGCTTCCCGGTTGGTTTTGGTCAGACCTAGTGTAAGAGAGACTGAATCCGTCGATGTTGCAGGTGGATCCGTCGCCGCGGGGGTGAAACCGAGATCTAGCCTTGTTGCGGCAGTCATTGTGTCACTCCTCCGATTGAGTCTTGATTTTGAGGCTATTGACACCGCAGATTGTACCTGGGATCAAAGCACATCGTTCTCCCGCTGAAGATGGGCCATCCGATCTGCCATCTCTCACCGGATCTCTTCCCTTAACGCTTCTAGTTGTTCGTGAAAATCACTCACCAAAGGGTTAGCTCCTGACATAATTGATATTTCTCTTGCACGATGCCCCACGGTGGGCGCCAATTTGTTTAAGCAATTTTATTGATAAGCTAAAACTAATAAACAAAGAATTTATATGAAGAATGGGCTTCGAACA